TATATATATATGTATATATGAATATATACATAATATATATATATATATATATATATATATATATATATATATATATATATATATATATACATATATATATATATATATATATATATATATATATATATATATATATATATATATATATATTAAATATGTATATTTACATATATGTATATAGGACCCTGAGCGAAATGGCGATATCAATTGGCCAACTTCCTCAGGATTCCCGAAGTAGGCGGCTACAGTTTCGCTTTATGGCGTGAAGTATTTCCGAAGATGCTGTGTAGCCTAATTCCCAGTCGACGCCAATTGTTTTAAAGTTCAGTTGCGATCTCATGCCTTTCCCTGTGGCATTCAGCAATAAAGATGATAGTCATGACTTGCCATGTCTTAGTGTCCGATTCTGATGTTCTGTGCCTCGTTTCTTGACCTGTAATATTCCGGTATCTAATCACAAAAGCCTTTGAAGTGGATCCTAACAGTGGAACCTATCACGATGGGATTTATGCCCCCCACTTCTAGTGTGACATCTCCTCTGGCTTCTTAGCTAGAACTATTAATTTTAATTGCCTCTGTTAAGGTGTGTTAAACCTCCATGACTTTCTGTTGCCTCAGATCTCACCTAACTCAAGTACCTTAACCTCCCCTTCGGCCGCCATTACCTGCAGATGCCCCCTCGCCTCCGTGAGTGCGCCAGGGTCCTCCCCCTCCGCGTTCCGTCGGGCTCCGGCGCCCCGTTCGTCACGAGCGACGGCCCGGATCATTAGACGCCCGGGTCTGAGGAGAGGAGCGCTGCAGGTGGGCTGACCTCTGACCTTCAGGAGCCTTGCACAATGCACCCTGTCTCCTCGTCCTTATCATGACGTCGACAGATTGTTAAACGCTGAGCACTGCCTCGTGGACCTTGTTGCGCGCTTCTCCGATCTCTTGGCTGATGCGAGCAGTTGGCTTCCTGGCCAGCGAGAAGGGCCTGGACGCCGTCACGCTTAGCAGAACACTGGTTTACGTCATGATTAATTGTGTTCCTGTTTTTGTTAGAGCATGCTTCGTCGGAGATGACACACACACACATGTGTGTGTGTGTGTGTGTATGTGAAAAGTCCATGTGTAGACATATATATATGTGTGTGTGTGTGTGTGTGTGTGAAAAGTCCATGTGTAGACATATATATATGTACGTGTGTGTGTGTGTGTGTGTGAAAAGTCCATGTGTAGACATATATATATATATATATATATATATATATATATATATATATATATATATATATATATATATATATATATATATGTATATATATATATATATATATATATATATATATATATATATATATATATATATATAAACATATATATATGTGTGTGTGTGTGTGTGTGTGTGTGTGTGTGTTTGTGTGGTTTGTGTATATATATATATATATACATATATATATATATATATATATATATATATATATATATATATATATATATATATATATATATATATATATGTATATATATATATATATACATATATATATATATATATATATATATATATATATATATATATATATATATATATATACATATATATATATATATATATATATATATATATATATATATATATATATATATATATATGTATATGTATATATACATATATATATATATATGTAATATATATAAACATATAGTGTCACAAATCACGGAGACATAAAAGGAGCCAAACATATAAATGTGTGAGAGACACGAGGAAGGAGATTCCCGTGTCTTGAATGCGCTTCCTCGCGGAGACAAAATAATTATTTCCTCTAAGTCTGTCTCCCTTTGTAACGGGGGATCCTGGGTTCAGGGCCGCGACAGGCTGGCTCCCAGGGCCCTCAGATGGCACTCCATTTTTCATGTCTTTTTGCTTTTGTTTCTTGGTTTTGTTTTAGCGTCCATCTCAAAGGGATTCGATATTATTATTAGAATGTTCAAGTTTTATTTTGTTTTAAACACATCTGTCTGTCTGTTATTCTTTCTTGTTGGCTTATGTGTCTATCTATCTGTATGTCTGTTTGTACAGTATATATATAAGTGTATGTGTGTGTGTTTTGTGTGTGCGTGTGTGTGTGTGTGTGTGTGTGTGCGTGTGCGTATGTGTGTGTCCATTTACCTTTTTACTTAACTGCTTGACATCCTGATATTTTGCCTGACATCCTGTTACGAATTAAAGCGCTGGATAAAACACGGAAGCGATATTTCAAAGCTGCTCCCTCGTTGTGTGCGTTTTAGCAGAGTCCTGTCTTGTATTAATTATTCACATCCACATCAAATCCCTGAAAATGAAATTCAGAGCTTTTAGATGGTGTACAATTGTGTAATCGGATTAAACAGAGTCCAATCTAAAAATTATATTTCAAAGTTTCCATTAATGAATATACATAGTCGTTATGTATCTCGATGGCTTAGTTTGAGAGCACTGTTGACAGTTAATTGCCGATTCCGAACACCAGACAGAGCTTGGATAGGCATCTCGAAGCTCTTCGGGAAAGGAGCTCCTTGTATGAGTCTCTAAATGGACGAAGTGTTAAAAGGTTCGATGCATGAATTATCCACGACCAGGTCTCTTCCTAAAGTCAAATATTTATTGGCAGTATTATTATTCGGTGTAAATAAATATAAGCCTCGTTAAGCATCCAGATTGCAAAATGCCTCGTTTTCACAGCTTTCCCTGCAATACAACTGCGCTGACCTTGCGCAGAACCGCTAACTCATACGTCGCGGTGACGCTAGAAACACTTCGCCTCTCGCGAGATACTCACGAGGCAGAGGCGAGCATGACGCGCCGTGGGTCGTAATTTGTTCTGGCTGGTTTCTATGACCTTGTTTGTGTTTACAACTGTTTTGTAAAGATATATTTACTTATCCATGTTACCCCCCTCAGTGGCAATCTAAGATTTACAGAGTAAAGAGAAAGTCTGGTTACATGATATGCAGAAATGTTTGCAAAAATAGGCATTGTCGGAGTAAGGAAAGTGCTTCGTTCCTTTATGTGGAAATATTACATTTTAAGTCAGCTACGGTTTTTAACTGGCAAAATTAGCATTGGTTCTCTCACCTCTTAACCTGTTGAAAAGGTATGAATGAGAATGAATATCTTTACAATAGATCGAGCTGACTTTCGTCACCACAGGACTTCCAACGCCTTGGTGGTGCTTGTTGATAAAGTGGCACTGGAAGGAAGCAGAAGTAATCCATGGAGGATTGGACAAGCAGAAAAGAAAAAATAATGGAAGTTGCATACATCACGACGGAGAAAAAAATGTAAACACTGCATCGGGCAGTTTCAAATTATCAAAGGTCACGGCAGCGATTATGTAGGTAAAGAGTGGGAGGTCACGGTAGTTAGGTGATTCGATAGCTCACGTCTCACATGTATATATGCTCTATAATTTCTCTGGTGTATGTATTTCTAACGAAGATATATTCGAAACCGTTCAAATACATCTCTTGTATAGTGAAGATATTCATTCTTACTCATACCTTTTCTACATTTGTCAACATGAATACGGATCACGGTAGCCTGTTCCTTTATTTACTGATTTGAGAGAAAAGGAAGTTACGATGTCTCACAGAAATAACAGAAGTACATTACCACGGACTTGATGATTCCCAAGCACAACTTTAAGGTTGACCTAAGCCTCATTAGGTTGCCCAAACAGTCCAAAGAAGGAAGAGTACCACGCCAGCAGCGCCTTGCCCGTGGTTCCGGTGGCGCAGCAGTGGTCAGCAGGAGGATGAGAACACACGGGGCCCGAGAGAAATGTTCCAGATGGAGTTAGGGTCACTTCCCAAACTTTCGGGCTTTGTATCGTTGTTGTTTTGCTAGCGAGGGAATTGATGTGATATTTTCACTAAAGAAAGTCTTCGAACATTTCTCAGAGTAAAAGTAATTGTAGGTATGGTTGCATATGTATTTCTGAGTGTAATTAAGTTAATATTTTCTTAAATGCTTCTGTGATGATAATAGCTGGAACTGGACATTTGTTTCACTGGATATAGTGAGAAAATAAACAATGATTTGAAGATACACACTCTGCCAAGCATATTCGATATCAAACACATAAATAGTAGTCCACCTTATCCATCCACAAACAGATACAAACGTGCATACATTGTACCAGAAAATCCAAAGAAATTTACGGGTCGAGTAGGCCTAACGGCGAGAGGCGCCCATGTTCCTCGGCCACATTACTCCGAATGTGCGGTCGGCCTTCCCGCGAGTACACGATGTCCCGAAGAGCCAGAATCTCTGTCAGCTGATCTGTTGTACTGAACATGTCCGGAGCATGTTAATCGTGCGGCCAGTAGCTTTCATGACTTTTGTGCATTTATTTACTAACTGAACTTGTACAGACAAGCAAAAAGAGACTCACAATCGTCCAACGAAATGACACCTGAATACAGATCATCCAAGTGTCATCGTGACATGTGTGTTGACCCGAAGCAGTGCGAAAGTTAGTTCTTCCCTGTCCAGTTTATCCTTCCCGCTGTTTCATTTCCTCCACTTTCCCCGCTGCCTTTAACCCGCGCTTTTCATTTGCCCTTTTCATGAGTGAGGGAAGATCGACGCAAGGCCCCGGGAAGCAGAGACACAGATAGGGAAGTATTGGGAGTGAGGAGGTAGTAGCGGGTGAGAGGAGGTGACCTTTCGAATTTACTGCCTCTCCACGGTCGCAGGGGTGTCGTCAGGACCCTTTTGTGTCGCTTCTGCAAGACCAGCCCTTGCATTCGGTGTCTGCGTTGTGCTGGTGCGGCGGACCTTGGCGTTCTTCGTTATTCAATAGATGTGTTTTATTTGGTGTTAAGATACTCCGGGTTAGCCATAAATACAAACAAAAAGGAAATGGTTTAAAACGTCCCAATAATGTCTATTCTGTCTCTGCCACCGACACTCTCGCCCTCAGCGTTGCCTTGCCCCCCCACTCCGCTCACACCCAGCTCTCTTCTCTCCCCAACAGGATCTATTAGTAAGCTTGTCGCAGCTCCTTCGAGGCAACGCGTACGACAAGCTCAAGTTCGCCTTCAAGCTCTACGACGTGAACGGCGACGGATGCATCACGAAGGCAGAGCTCACCGACATCGTTTCGTCCGTTCACGAGCTCATGGGGAGATGTAGCCACAACAGACACGTAAGTGGGGAGGCCTGAAGGGACCTCGCACGCGAACAGGGTGAGGCTAAAGTGAGGGTACTTTAGTAGATGTGTGGAAGGAAAATAATAAATGAAGTGAAGGGTAAAATAATTATGAAATAAAGGATGATTTTATGTAAATGTAAGTAAAGAAAAAACAGGCAGGAGGATGGGACTTTTATTACTTTGGGTGATTATGCATAGTCATTCATAAAGGAGGAAAAACAACAGCGCAGACACAAACAAGCATGTAAACAAAGGCAAAGGTAACCTGACGAAAAACCTGAACACATTTCATATTTTAAGCAAATATCTTTATAGCGTTGTATCACACACAAGATAAACCAAGAACCATCTGACGAAGTTTCTTCGTTTAAATACATAGTTTTATATGAAATATGATAATATTTTGCCCTAATCTCTTCATCATTATGTTAGTTTCATCATCACTGCAAAATTAACATTGTTGCCATATACATTATTATCACTGCTGCGCTCACTGCTGTTGAGTTTAACCACGAGGAATGGCCACAAGTTACTCGAACCGACATACACACGGGGCAAGCCTGACAACATTGCAGCCGACCCTCGAGTTCCCGCCAGGGACTGCCTTCATTCAGACAGACATCTGGGGACGAAACCTTGTTCACTGGGCTGCGCGAGGCTAGCAGCTTCGCACCTGAAAGGTTTAATTACAAGGGTGACCTTAAGTGACCTTAGGTGAGCCGATGCAATGGCCAGGTGATGGTGGTCGTAGTTCCCAGGCTTCTGACATCTCAACCCTCGTATGACACGATTGTGTATCCCATTGTGGCATTAGTGTTCCTTGTATGTTGTCATTAGTGCCCGTGGAGCGTTCGTAGCTTCCATTTATGAAAAGATGACAATTCACAGTAGGAGCCGGCCCGTCTGCAAACGAGCTAGGAAGTACGCATACCCCATGCATCGCAGCGCAGGGTGCACCTTCGTTTGCAGAACACCTACCTCCTTTCTGACGCGCCTGACGTTTGTTCAGGTGGACGAACCTGCTCCAGCCATGGAACAGAACCGCCGTAGGTGCGAGTGCGACCACTATCGAAGGGGGCGCAGTGACGATCCTATAGTGTTTAGCAATGCAAGCCATGGAAAGATGCACGCATAGCCTACGAAGACCAGTTCTGGCCCCGTCCTGAAATATAGGGATATACGCCATGTTAAGGGAGATAAAGGCCACCCAAATAAATTTCACGGGCGCGTTCTCCTACGGGTGCTTTGTGAGGGATAAGTTGACAGCCCTGGTACACGTCTCGAGAGAGGAGTGCACCATCTCACGAGCACGTCCGCGGAAGTACACTGGACGAGTTTACCTTTATTTTTCAAGGACTCCGGGACCTTATGACAGGAGTCTATAACATCGGGTCATCCAAGGTTGCCTTTGCAATTAAGTCTACCCTAGATGGCAAGATTTCAGAAGTAGATGTCGGATCGAGACAAGCCAGCCTCCAGTGGGAAAATATATTATTAGTGTTAGTATTAGTATTGGCATTATCACATTAGTATTAACATTATTATCGCAATAGTTATCATCATCACATTTATCGTTGTTATTATAGATAATATTATCATTTTTACCATCAACTTCACATTCATCAACATTATCATTATCATTATCATTACCATCATCGGTATCATCACTATTATCACTATTATTATTATCATCAACATTATTATCATCGTCATCATTATTATTACTGTTATTATTATCATTATCACCATATCATTATCATTATCATGAACACTTTCATTATCATTATTATTATTATCATTATTATTATCATCATTATCATTATCGTTATCGTTATAATTATCTTCATCATCATCTTTATCTTGTTATCATCCTTTTTATTATTATCATTATTATTATTATTATTATTATTATCATTATTATTATTATTATTATTATTATTATTATTATTATTATTATTATTATTATTATTATTATCATTATCATTATTATTGTTGTAGTTGTTGTTGTTGTTGTTATCATCATCATCATTATTATTATTATTAATTATTTTTATTATTATTATTATTATTATTATTATTATTATTATTATTATTACTATTATTATTATCATTATCATTATTATCATTATTTATATTATCATTATCACTATTATTATCATTATTATTATTATTATTATTATCATTATTATTATTATTATTATTATTATTATTATTATCATTATTATTGTTATCATTATTATTGTTATTGTTATTATCTATTATTATCATTATCATAATTTTTGTTATCTTCATCATTACCATCACCCTAATGATCATTATCCTTATTATTGTTATTAGCAATATTATTATTAACATCATTATTATCAGCAGCATCATATTCATATCTATATTCATATTCATATCCATATTCATCTTCATCTTCATCATTATTATCATAACCATTGTTATCATCATCATCTTCATTATCATCATCATCATTATCATTATCATTATCATCATCATTATCATCATTATCATCATCATTATTATCACCATCATCATTATCATCATTATCATCATCATTATTATCACCATCATCATTATCATCATCCTTCATCTTCTTTGCAGCAGCATGAGTAGTAATAGTGAGGGTAGCAGAAGTAGTGATATTAGTAATAGTATCATTATTTTCATCGTTATCATTGTTATCATCATTATCATTATCATTATTACTGTTATTGCAGCAACTAATATTACAATCACCATTATTAGTGTTGTTATTGCTTTGTTGCAGTTGTCCTCATCATCATTACCATCATCAATAACCATCGTCCTTAATATCTATATTATTATAGGCAGTTCAATATCCACAATGCCTGAGATTATTTAGACAAACTGGATTTTTTTTTAACCAGATGATGATAACACTATTATAAGTAACTGGGAATTAAGTCTAAGTTATGAAAACGGCCGCTGGTTTCGTTTAATTACTTGCACTTTGATGTGCGATTCAGTACAGGAATAGCAAGGCAGATAACTACATTTTTTAGACTCAGTGTTGTAACACTTATATAAGTTATAAGTTTATATAAGTTATATATATATATATATATATATATATATATATATATATATATATATATATATATATATATATATGTATGTATGTATAGTTTTTATTTAAGTTTTTATATATAAGAGTTTATATAAGTTTGTTCACATTATAATTCCTAAAACAAACACATTAGTCACTACAAAGGCCTACTAATGAGAGTACATTAATAACATTTACAAAGGCTCTCAAGTAAAAGCTCATAAAGCAGCCTGTCTCATCACGGACTGTCAAGAGACTCGGCAGACACACGAGGAAAACTTGTCTTGTTGTCCCTGATTATTAAAGTGAATTAGTTTTATTGTGAGAGCGCTTTGTGAGGCCTTTGATGGGAAAAAAAAAATCTGTTCGCCGAGCACGTCACTCTTACTGACAATGAGGCCACGGCGTAGTAACAATCATTTTCATTGTCCGATAGAGTAGTATTCGGAGTCTGTTTAAAATCATCTTAATCATTCAGTAATTATCCCCATTATGGACAATATTTGCATAAGAAAGCTCAATGAGGTGGTAAGAAAATCCTATTTTTTTCTCTCCTTTTCACAAATATTCAATGCTTTAAATCTCAAATCCCACAAGAAATATTTATATTGTAATGTGGTGCTGTGAAGGCCATGGAAATATCTGATTAGTTTCAAATTTCGGGAAAGTTATTCTGAAGGCTTTTCGCAACTACTGCGCACTACCCATAATCAACTAATGTTCAATATGGATTTCGTCCCGCCTGAAGAACAATATTTTGCATCTGTTCTTGAGATTTCTCATCGCGTTCTTAATCTGATGGTCTGCCGGGCCGCTGCCAGCCGCGGAAGGCGAGGAGTGAAGATAGTTGTGCGGTTCGGCTACAGTTTGGTCCTGGTAGTTACTGAAAGTTTCCTTATAAAAATGAGGACTTTTGGGGGACATCCATAGCATGGCGGCGCTATTTGGGGATTCCCCTGCTGCTTTAAGGGTTGAATTTTACTCTCCTTCCCGTCAGATTTATGAGACATGGCAATTTTAGTCTCTACATTAAGACTGCCGGAAAGAAATATTCTGAATTGAATACCTTCAGTCATATTTGTTCCTTCTTTCCCATTTCCAAAAAGGAGATCTGTAATATATTGTGTAGTATAGTGTATTTCTTCATTAGATTTCTTTTCACGACACTGAGAGCGCGTTTGTCATACAATTTCAAAAGTGAAGAGTACGGCTTGGCTGCCCCCAGCAGCTGCTTCCCGTGGAGAAAGGACAGCGAACATTACCAGGTTTTATGTGATATCGTAAAGTTCAAGTGTCTTGAAGCACAAGTCAGGGCTTGGCAGAATAAGCCTCCTCCGGTGAAGTATATGTGGAGAGGTTTATAAGACGTCGGGATTCGTTTCTCGTGGATTCCATTTGGAGATTGATTATCTAGCTCGCTCCGCTGTTCCCCTTCTCTGCTCTCCTTCCCTGTGCATAAAATACTCTCGTCTCATTCGCTTAGACTTGTCATTTGCTATTACTGGCCCAACCGACCGAAGATCAGGACTTCGTCTTAGCTGTCGTTAATTCCAATCATTTCATTTTCTTCCCCACTTCCGTCTCCCCAATTTCCAGTTTGGGTTTTTTCTTCGGCTGCTTTTTTCTTCTTCTTCTCCTTCTTTCTGTCTCGGAAATATGTGACGGAAATATCCCCCGGTGGCGCCTCGGCTATCTGCTCTGTCTCTTGCGTCAGTGCGACCACTTCCCTCCTCGTAGCTATGTATTTGTCTATCTCTCTGTTTGTCAGTGAGTTTATATGTATATATGGCTATGTGTGTGTGTGTGTGTGTGTGTGTGTGTGTGTGTGTGTGTGTGTGTTTATGCATGTATGTATGTAAGTATAAAGATCCCTCCTTCCCTTCCTCCTTATGTCCTTCAATACTTTCCCTATTCTCGTGAC